CATTCTCCTGCAATGGTTTAAGGTTTAAGACACTTAAGGCATCGAAAAGACATTGTTTATCTACAAAAATATTTCCAGACATAAACAGCTGAGAAGAAACTGGCAGAGTAACAGATATTAGCCCTCACATCCCTAAGGTGGCTTTTTTCACAAGGAGAGTCACCCTCCACTTTTCTGCTAGCAGAAAACCAAATTAAACACTGTACACAATTCAAAACCCAAATGCCTTAAAATATTCTCAAATAGACAAATACATCACAATCTATGTAAACATGGGATCAACCTTTCACACTTGCTTTTGAAAATATTGTTTGTAATTCAAAGATATTTTCAATCTTGATCTATCAAAGGAAAAAGGAAAATAGGAAGGACTTTCCTCTGGAATTTCAGACACCCATCAGTACCGCAACTTTAAAGTGAAATCTTGTATGCAAAAGAAACAAAAACACTTGTGATTGGCACACTACATAACCTTTTCACCTTTTTTTTCCCTCACAACAATATTTAAAAGATAAAATAATCTTAAAATAGACTGAAAGACTTTTGGTTCACTGTCTACTAGTAAGTCTTTATTAAAAAGTTCTAGCATTTTTTAAAATGGGTATTTAGAACATATCTTCAATGATTTCCTCTGATACTAGTGGTCAGCAATTTACATATGTGAAGGAAATGTATTAATTGCCTGCGCTTTTGGATAACTAAAAGAAAACCCACCAAAAGGTTATAGTCTATGAATGTCTTCACATATATGATCGTAGAATAAATAGTTCATTTGGAAGGGACCTACACTATTCACCTACTCCAGCTGCAATCTTGAAAACAGCATTAGCTATAACAAACAAAGAAACTCCTCAAAACCAACACACTGCCAAGCATGTAGCTGCTTCACCACTGAACTGGCAAAGCTTCACAGTTCGACTAGGTTTCTCCTTTGGCCAGTCCTACATTGCTTCCAGAAGTCCTCAACAGATTCAGACAAGCATTCGCTCAGCATTGCCTGTTCCTAAAATACAGTGGCTATGGACAACTTCCAACACATCCTATCTGCGACTCCTCAATATTGCTCTGACCTGGGAGGAAAGTGACTCTCAGATTGCATACTGGTTCAAATCACAGGCATCCACTGCAATATCCCGCTTTCAATATGATTATACCAAGTAGCATACAGTCCAAAATAAAAATTAACAAGTTGGTAATCATACTAATGCTGCTATTCCCTTGCAAAGCAATTTACAGTGTTTTAATCACCATAAAACTCCTGTAATATCTTAAGCCTGCAACAGAAATCTGACTAACGAAAACCAGTTGTTACAATCAAAAGCACTTTTGTGATGGAAAACCAAAAGCACACGCCCATCAGCAAGATACTTAATAAAAAAAATACATAATTTGGTACACTGTTTTAGAATTGTACCCTGTGTTTTGGAAACAGTGGCCAAACTGATATGCCACCATCTTTCCATCTGCTGAGTAACTGAATTTGTTTTTCACTTGTAACTATTTTTATTTACTAATTCAGGAGGTTTCCAAAATGGAAGTCAGAACTGACTTACATATGATTCATTCTTCATTATTGCAATTTTAATCTAAAACAAGGTTATTTTGCAGCATACCTATTGACTCAAATACGATTGTCTGAGTTTTACAGTCTGATTAATACATGCAGTCTTTACTTCAGCATGGGTCACTTGAAATCATTTAGCAGCTATTTGAAAACACTTAAATATGTGCTACTGTCACAGGAACAACAAAACAACTTAGAAATATCTTTGACATGGGAAGGTGGAATAAACACCATGGAAGCTGACATAAGAGAAATATGAGGCACAATATTTAAAATGACTTCTTCATTCATAGTTTCTAGAATGAAATGAAATGTCAGATTTACCTCCTTGATTTCATTTTAAAATCAAAAAACCTAGGCAACAGCCAACCAGCAACAGAACACAGGAAAAAAGGATTACATTTAATGATTAGTATTTCAAATTAGCTTCTCCTGCAATTTTTCCTGATCACTTCACATGCCTGCAAAATGAATTAGGTTAAATTACATTTCATAAATTAAACAAGTTATTCGGATATTCTTACAAATAGCCATTATAGTTTTGAATTGAACTATTCATGACATTGCTTAATACTTACAGCATGCAGCTTCTACAATATCATTTCTACCTAACCAATGCACAGAGAAAACACATTAAAATAAAATATAAAATTTTGAAAAACTGAAAACTGAAGCAACTGTACTTCCCAACGATAAATATGACTAACATCTGTTGCAGAAACTGCTTGGCACTTGTACAGTTTTGTGAAGGATTTTTGTTGTAGATAAATATTTTTCTACAATTCCTATTACGCACCACTCAACTCAGACATTTTCTTTAATTATACTACAAGGAGTCCTTTCATATCCATTAAAGAAAGGCAATTTGTTGCCTAAAAGAATGCATACATACTTCTAAATTTCAACTGTGATTCATCTGTCTTCTGACACATAAAAAAGCAAAGAAATACCTATAATTAATGGACTTAGTTCTGCAAAAATGGCTAATAAAACTCTCAATGCTCAACACATTATTTTTGTTAAATCCTGAAATATGCTCTTTTTGAAATAAGGAATGGTCTTATGATTCAACGTTTTACTTTCATTTCTCATCTCAATAATAAGGACAACAGCACAGCAAAGCCTTTAGGAAAGCAAGAAATTGCCATTTTAACACTGGCAAAATTGACTGAATAAGGCTCCCACTTCGCAGACACAGCAAACACAGGACATCATTTTTTCAGGGAAAAAACTAACAACTCTGTGACATTCTCCTTCAATTTTTTTTGTAATTTTGTTTGCCACTATTCTTAAGTAAAGAATTTCAGAGACATACACTGAGGTCTTGATGTAGGTGATTTCTTCTGAAAATATGCATAAGCTGTGCGCATTTAACAATATTCTTGTATTCAGCATTTCATACAGACTAGAAGTAGCAATCAAGACTTGTATGCTATGATAATACACGGAAAGATTTTTCTTTTTTTAAAGCAGAAACATATTTAAAAGCTATTGTAAGCATATAAAGATCTACTCCTCCACTGAGATATCAAGCAATTGGTAATGACGGATGAGGAGAAAGTGAGGGTACTGCAAATAAACGAGAAGAAATGCTAACTCTAAATACACAAAAGATTCAGTTCAGACCCAAAAGTCTATCCACATAGGCTCAACCGCAAAATGGGGAGTTACATGTATAATTTGCTGTAAAGCAGACTAACTGGCATTGTATTCACTATTCTTACGAAACCAGCAAGGAACATTTCCTAAATTATATTTATAATCAAAATCCTCAATTAACTTTAAACCAAATTTGGCTGTTTTAAAAAGGAAAAAAGTAGTAAAATAAAAAATACTTAAATCATGTGGAAAAAGCATTTCCATTGATGGAAATTGTAATCTCTACTGCTTTATGAAAAAAGTAAAAATCAAAGACACCTTCAGTATATTTGGATGAATAAAATGAAACCAGTTGTGTCTCAGGAGACTGATTTTTTAAGTGCAAGGTTTAGGAATACATGCGTTGCTTTTACATTGCACAATAAACTACAAGGGATTAATAAATTGATATATAAAAATCCATATTACATTTCCTTTAAACATTCATTACTTCTTCTTAAATCTGTTTTTAGATGAACAAGACCTAGAACTTGTAGATTCTACCCCTGCCTCATTTCAGTTTGCCTTTTTAAGTAACTTGACATATTAAATCCAAATTCCTTTTTTTTTTTTTTCTTTTTGCTAAGCACAGGTTCTTGGAGGAAAGGACCAATAATTTAATAAAACATTTTACAGTGTAGCTTACACAGTTCTCACTTAATCTCTTCCTCTCATATTAAAAATATCATTGTACTCCAGTCACATTTACACTTCTTAACATATAATAAGCTTAACTTTTTATCCTCTATTTCTTTTGGCTAAGAAAGGAAGCATAAATAGCAATAAAGCAGTACAAAAAGTACATGCAACTATACTGTACAAATAGTTATTCTACAGATCAGTAAGTTTTGCATTGAATTGAATTGGCATTCTTCAGAAAGATCATATTTTAGACGAAGTGCATCTAAGAAAGCAACAAGTTTAAATACAAAGCAGCAACACAGTATAAGGTGCTGAAAGTTTTCACTCTGCTGTAATGAAAAACACCACTCACAGAACAAACAGGACATTTAACATACAATCTTTAATAGGAAGAGTCTTTTAAATGACATTTATGAACAGAATGACACAACCAAATTTTAACTTCTTCCTACAACTTCAGAAGACTAGGTAGATTCTCATGAAGAATCAGTAACTTTCAGCATTTCCTCAAAGGTATGTGACACGATAGCAATGTAAGACAAATCTTTCAGAAACTTAAGAACAAAAGGTACACCAAATAGAACAATTATGTAATTTACTATGTGATAGCTACAAATTAGACAAAAACATTATTCCTTAAAAGAAGAAAATCAGAACAAATTAAGGACTTCAGAACAGTAATTGCAACTCTGCCCTCACATCAGTACACAGCAGTTCAGAAAAAAAGCTTTTACATAAAAGACAACCTATGACTGCAATCTATTGCTTTAAGCAGTTGCAAAGAATGGAGTAATGGGGTAGTGCAAGATTAAAACCAATAGCAAATAAAAAAACAAGCTGAACAAAAAATCACTGTCCCAGCAGCTTTTGATAAAAGTAGTTTAAAAACGCCTTTTCTCCCTTAAGCAAAATATGGTGAAAGCAGGAGAACTGCTTGTATCCAAGTATTACTTGTTTGTTTTCCAGAACAACTAAGCCTGTATAGAGTGCATTGGACTGGGTTCTTAGGGGCTGGGACTGTTCTTGGTCTCCCTACTGGCAGTGAAGAGTAATTGAGGCCAGTCCTTAACTAGGATGTCAGGGTAATAAGTAATACTGGGTCAGTGGTGTGCAAATAGTAAATACAAACAGGCAAGATGCTGCCACATTAACATACCTCTTGTACGGAGCGAGCTGCTGGCTTGTCTTGATGATTGGCCAATATTAAAAACGGCAAAGTACATAACTGTGGGTGCTGGAGAGCAGAATGCAGTTCATTCCTAGCAGTTTCTAGATCATCTTCAGAGGAGGCACTGTCTAATACAAATATTACCCCTTGGGATCCTTGGTAGTAACGACTCCAGTATTTCCTGATATTGTCAGCCCCTTTCAAGACAATAATAAGAACTAATTAAAACAAGAATAATTAAACAGATCTAACATTTGTATCTGAAAGTAACCCTTCTACCTAGAACAATCAAAGCAATGGACTAAATTTTCTCTCCTAAAGAATCATCATTGAAAGAATAAAAAGGAAAAAAGCAACCATAAATCCAACACACGTACAAAAGTCAAATTAACTTTGTTTCAATAAGGAAGGTATTTGACTGAATACAGTTTTCATCTCTGAAGGTTTCTGCTTCATTAATGAGTACTGGCAGAACTACTATGCTTCCAGTGCATGGAACCACTGGAATCTAATCTAATCTATACCTTCTCTAATGAAGTATCTTGGTACGAATACCTAAACCTTTGTCCATTCTCTTTAACTTAGCCCTGCAGCTCCTTGCTGTAACCTGTAGCTTCTGTCATGGCAGTTGCTCGTTTCTGAGCATGATGAAGTCTTTCAGTTCATCTCCAAACCATTAGGCAAACACTTCACAACTGGAGAAAAAAGGTGTCAGGAAAGCCTATTAAAGTAGTTAGAAATTTAATGATGACAATGGTGATACAATAGTGAGTTGAACAGTGAATGAGGAGATACGGTGACAACATGAAAAGGCATTCATTTCAACTATTTTTGCTCTGTCAACCACGCTAAGGATCCTGGAAGAGCCCAACAGTAGACACAAGTGACTGTACAGGCTTATGTGCCACGGTAATTTTTAGGACACAGTTCAGCAGCACTCAGCCATCTCAACAGAAGCCGAGCAATGAGGTTATCTACAGAAAGCTTTTGTCTCCCCTGGAGAGCAGCATACGTTGTAACGCTGAGGTAGGAAAAAAACCAACCACTGTATTTGACAGCTGTCAAACTATCTAAACTATGATTTGGATATGGGCTATTCTTTGTACGTCTGAATCTGGCACTACACTCATGGGGACTAACACTAAAAAGTAAACAGCAGCAATATACAAGTAGAAAACTTGACATGTCTGCAAGACAGTGATTTACAGAAATGTGTCTGTAAAGGATACCTTCAGCACTTTTCTTACTTTGAGATAGAGAGAAGTGAACTTTAATGTAGACACAGATACCAAGTGCTGATAAGAACAGAGCTCCATTTTTTAGTGAAACAAAACTACACAAAAATTCTGAGCAACATGTAGGCACAAAGTGAGAATTTAATGCAACATAATTACTATAACATTGATATGATACTTAAAATATTCAATTCATTTATACATTGTGGAATAGAAAAGACAGTCACTAAACAAAGGTGAAGAAATAAGTATCTAAAAAGGAATTTACAACATATACTTCAGGCATCTAACTCAAGAGTATTCAAATCCCGCCCCATGGAGTTACTGTCTTCTCTGTGCTGTCCACACTGGAACCTTAAGCACTCCGTTTCTGTATACTGCACCTAGCACAATTTAATTGGCTAATGAACATTGTAGGAAAAAGTGTGTATTCACAAAGAATACTGAAGTCATACCTGAACAGTTTTTTTCTGCAAGAGATCTAAAGAGTTGATTAAAGGTACATGGTCATGGGATTTAGTCAAGACCTTGCTTAATTTCTCTATTTATTTAACCAGATTCACACGTAACAATGCACAAATAGGACAGGTATTTCATTTATTTTATCATCAACTTCTGAAGATGAACAATACTTATACAGAAGAGGGACTGCATTGAAAGCTAATTCTATGTTTCTCTACCACCAGAATATCTACCAATTGTACTCGTAAAGAATTTCATAGCATCTATTAGAAGTCCCAGTCTATCCAAACAGCTGTCTATGTCAGAACCAAGTAGAGCAAGTTGCCAGAGGGACACTATTTACATAGCCATACACAGTAGTATCGCAGGCATCTAAAGTATCACATTACTTTAAAAACTGGTAGAGAATCATTTTGAATGAACTGAAAGGCCAACACCATGATCAGTTCTTTGAAGGTCTTTTTTTTTTTCCTAGCAACATAACATCTGTCTTTCTTACACTAAGCTTCAGCCAGCTAGTTTTTAATCACGTGTCGCTGCCCGACCCTAAGACTTATCTTTGTAACTGTACTATTTCTAAAGAGAAAAATTGTGTGGTGAACTACAGAGCATTTGACCTCTCGTATCCAGGCACATGGAAGAAAGCAGCTCATGAATCCCTGCATGGGACACTGGAGCCAGAAAAGCAGTATACTGATTTGTTGATCTTACAGTACTGTCTTTTTGGTTCAGGTTCTTTAGCTGCTCTGCTTTGTTTCTCTACATCAACTGTCCCAAAAGAAACACCACCAAAGCGCAACAGGCCTTTTCCCTCCAGCCCTGGCCTGTCACCATGGCGTAGCTATAAGAACCAATTAATAATGTTCAACAAAACTTGGTATTTCCTTCACGATCTTCCATTAGAATAATGACCTGCTCTGAACTTGCTTACACTTCAATTCTGAAGAAATCAGAGCCTGAGGTTTAAGAATAAAAAAATTTGCACTAAGCAGACAGGAAAAAAGACTGAGAAAGTCTGTACCTTGGGATGCCATTTTACCTCATTTTTCTGGCAAATGCACTTGAAAAATAATTCTTGGCATCAATAAGCTATCAGCAACTGGAAATCACAATCTCTACAAGACAAATAAGCTTATATTCTTTTGCCTTAACTCTTCATATTCAGGGAGCATAACCTGCTCTCAACTTCTTTCTCCAGAGCATTAGGTAGTACATTGTGGGGTCACCCTGGGCAGGAAACACTGGCTTGCAAATAGCGATCCAGCCATTGCACCTTACAGCATGACAAATTCAGTCTTACAGAGCAAGCAGTTGTTTTTAAAGGTGCAGTTTAGCACAGACTATCCTATGAATTAATCTCTTCATCTATTCCAAAGGTTTCTAAGACAGGCAAATTCAAAGTCTGAGTTCTCTGGCAATCCAGAATGTAATGTGCATCTATTAAACACCCTCAGGCTCTCAGAGACTGCTGAGATAAAACCAGAAACTTAACTGGCACCCAAAATGTCCTATCAAACAACAGTAACACAGAAGATAAGCATTTAGGTTTGTCAGCCTAATATCATGTGTTTCTCTAAGAGCTTTGCAGGCACATGGCTGTTACTTCAACCACTTCATGCCTAAACTAAGATTTAAAAAAAAAAAAAAAAAAAAAAAGAAAGAAAGAAAAAGAAAGAAGTAACTCAGGTAAAAATCTCGAAAACATCAGAAAGATATAACAACAATTCACATTAGACCTAGGCAACATGTATGTGAAAGGTTCACTAAAATGTAACATTCAGTGTAGTATTTTCCTCAAACACAGGCAAGAGCCAGGACTCATACCTAGGCATATGATCTGTTTCCCTCAGCAATTAACCCACAGGAGTGGGTTGAGTCCTGTGATGTCACTAAAACATCCCATTTACAAATTTGGGTGGTGGGGGACCACACTACAAGACAATCACACTACTTACTAGAAAAGAAAAGACTGTACTCAGTCAAACATAGGCTTGAATTACTTTATAAAAGGAAAAAAACCCAACAACCTGTCCTTACAGAGAAACAACAGGGTGCTGTAATTAAAAATCCCAATCATTCAGCATTACTACAGGGCTAGTTTATTCAACTAACTGTTCAAAATTTTAGAAAGTTTTAACTTGTAATTTTTTAAATGTCAAAGAAATAATTTTTTTCTGATTATCAGCCAATGGTATAGTGTGTCCACATTAACACCGTTTATGATTCGCATCAGTGCCAACAGTACCCTCTCAAATGCCCCTTGGAGCTGGAGGCAGGAGTTTGAAAGTTACGTGCAGTTTAATACATATCTAAAACAGGCTGCACAGTTATGCACTCCTGTAAATATTACACAAAATGAAGAGGTTCAAATCCTCCTTTCAACTATGAATACTTCTGTTTACATCTTCATTCACAGCAGCTTGAGGCTACCTTCAATTTCCTCCTTTTCAGTACTTTCAGGAGAACAGAACATAGCATTACAGAAAAAATTCACTGAAAGGAATTTCAAGGTGTCAAATTTATTACTTGTCAAACTTGCAGCAAGTCTCCATTGAGAGCACAATGAATGTCACGCAGCCCTTGCTTCAAGATAGTCTAGCCTGCACATGAAAGCTCTTGTTCACCTCAAAATACATCACAGCGCTGGAGAAGTTATAGTCTCAAATCCAGGGAAGAACTTTTTCTCCTTCCCACCAAAACCAGTTAACCTAGGCCATGAAAGAATGTAGCCTGCCAGTTTTTCCACCACTTCAAATATAACATCCACTCACCTGAAATAAAGACACCTACTTATTTTGAAAGTTTTGTAGTTGTGTCCTGGTTTCAGCTGGGATAGAGTTAACTGTCTTCCTAGTAGCTGGTACAGTGCTATGTTTTGGGTTCGGTATGTGAAGAATGTTGATAACACTGATGTTTTCAGTTGTTGCTCAGTAGTGTTTATAGTCAAGGATTTTTCAGTTTCTCATGCCCAGCCAGGGCACCTGACCCAAAGTGGCCAACAGTGTATTCCATACCATGGGATGTCCCATCTAGTTTAGGAACTGGGAAGGGGGGGCGGGGAATCGCCGCTCGGGGACTGGCTGGGTGTCGGTCGGCGGGTGGTGAGCAACTGCCCTGCGCATCATTTGTACATTCCAATCCTTTTATTACTACTGTTGTCATTTTATTAGTGTTATCATTATCATTATTAGTTTCTTCTTTTCTGTTCTATTAAACCGTTCTTATCTCAACGCAGGAGTTTTACTTCTTTTCCTGATTTTCTCCCCCATCCCACTGGATGGGGGGGAGTGAGTGAGCGGCTGCGTGGTGCTTAGTTGCTGGCTGGGGGTAAACCACGACAAGTTGATTAAAAAATTACACAGGTAATTCCTCTACTGGTATTAAACAGGCAACTTCTAATTAGCAAAAAGGTGAAAAGATGCCAAGAAATATGTCAACCATGCCACAAAATCTTTTTGCATGAAAGACTGACCCATGAGTGGAGCAGTAAGAAGGAAGAG